TCGTCCAAATTGTCCTTTAAACTTTCAAGAAAATTCTAGTGGTTAAAGTATGCACTCATCTTATGACATAAAAAACTCCCTCCAGCCAAAATCAATACAAATGTCTAGATTAAAGAAAATCGTAAAATACAATAATAGTTGCTCCATTCGACTACATAAAGTCGCGATTTATCTCTAATAGACTTTTGTGGCTTCGGAATGTTTAAAACCTTGGTCAGGGAAGCCGATCTTCATGTAAAGTGGAGGTTATGTGGAAGAGTTGACAAGCTTGGTGGTCTAAGACTGTACTTACCATTATTCCTAGTAGTATACAGATAGACAGATTAATCTCATTCAGAGCTGAAATTCCTTATTATGAACAATTTTTTTTATTTATAAAGAGTAACTACTCCCAGTTTTGACTGTTCATTGAATTTTGCGAAAAGCTATTCGGGGGCTATATATGCTAACCGTCCCTAACTTATCAGTGATAAAGTAGAGGGAAGGAGGGCTCGATTCACACTCTGAGAGTCGTGAGTTCGAATCCCCGTCGCCGAACCTATTCGTCCTGTATGGTTGTCATGCGGGCCGGCCACCTAGGTGTAACAAATATTGGCTTAAAAAATACAGGCCGACCCCAAACTAGTTGGGATCAAGGTTGTTACGGAGAATACCACCCACTGCCAATCCTTGAGTTACTCTTTACCGACGAAAAATAGGATTGACCGCAATATTACAACGCCCCACGGTTGAAAGGGTAAGAATGTTCGTTGCCGGGACTCAAACCTACGAGTCGAGCGCCATAACCGCCAGGCCATGTAGTGTTTGTTCAGGTTCCATCCGATTTAAATATAGTTTTTAGATATGGATATAAAAATCTCTCACTTCTTCTATGTCTTTGTGATTAAATCTATTAACAACTTCTGATCAAGACAAGATAGGTATCCAAACTAAAAATTTAACCAATTAAATAACGTAGATCATTTAATATACAGCTCTAACTAGGGGAAGGAAATATCATAAAACAAAACTATAACTACTAGAATAAGCACAAATCTTTTCACATTTGCTAAATTCGATAAAACGAAGAAGCGAAAATATATACTAACTCAAAGAGAAGATAATTCGACAGACTATAAAACCGGCAAACAAGATTAGTACACTAATCATAGGTGTGTAAACCCACATACCATCTAATCTAAGGATGTTTGCTCACGTTGATTTTATCTTATTGGTTTCACAGTAAGCTATCTTGTCACACAGACTGAGTTTATTGACCCCAGGTTTTGAAAGATTATTGTCGAACACGAACACGAGTACGGCAGACAGATGCCTGCATAGATAACGAAACAGTCTCGCTATAAAAAGTCCGCAATCTTGTATCTCTCAAATTATGATTTATTCATGTAATCGTGACAGTAGAAACATGTTAGATCAAAAAAGAAAAATATAATGGGTAAAACCTCAGCACCAAGACGAGAGAAGGCCCACCTATCGAAAATGCATGGGTGTAACTTTTGTTGTTTTTTAATGACTTATACTTGTACAATATTCGTTCCACATTTCGTGGTTTGATACTCAGAGTTTTGAAAAATTACAAACTTTATTATGAAAATTACTTTTTTGAATTAAACGTTTTCTCTTTTTTTTTATTATATACAGCCTGTATTTTCGAAAATGTGGTATTTAATGCTGCAGTGTTATGTGGTCGGCTTTGACAGATGTATTTTCAAATGTTTATTTTTGGTGAAAATTGTATGTTGTGTTAGTTACTCCTAGAAATAGTCATTGTTAATGTTTTCCTACACTTTGTCTTGGTGAAGAAAACTAGAATTGGACTTAGAAACATAGTATCTGTTTCAGTATTTTCTCTACTATACAACAGAATAACTAAACACTGTTTTCTCTACTAAACAGTACATATCTATAGAACACTAGAAATCAACTGAAATTCCTATACTATAGAGCAAAATAACTGAACACTGTTTTCTCTACTAAACAGTACATATCTATAGAACACTAGAAATCAACTGAATTTCTTCTACTATAGAGCAAAATAACTGAACAGTATTTTCTCTACTAAACAGCACAACATTCACAAAATTGAATTAATCAACTAAATGCCCAACAAATCAAATAACTGACTAACAAATTTGATAACTCAATAATCGATTTTGCATTATAACAGACTCGCTAAATCAGTTGTCATTCTCAAATATTATCACCTGATTTGCTTTTTGACCCATGATGTCATAAGCGACGTTTTACGCCAGTATATTTGATTCACCTCCGACGAATTCTCGATCATCTGACTTTCGCAGTACCGTTATAGATAGGCTTATAGCTAGAAGGATATACATTACAACATTTCCAGTGGAAGAATATTTGAATATCGAGATAATTAAGCGATCCAGGAACAAAGGACACAATATTTAAAAGAAAAAAGAAGCTTCCATCTTTTACATAAAACAATACAAAAATTATATAGCAGAGGGTTTAAACCCGCAACACTCTTCAAACCTCCCCCCCCCCCAACCTCATGCAACCCAATCCAATTCACCTGCAAAGTGAACGCTATGGTTACAAAAGAGAACCATCCGATCCAAAATAACATTGTGATGAAACAGGACAATGGTACAGTTAATGAAACGATAAACTATGATTTGAAGTTGACAAATGTTCAAACATCGCGCACTTCCAGCTTCGCTGAAAACAATAGTTGTTTCACGAGAAAGATGGCTGAAGTAGCCAGAATCACATTATTGTAACTGTTTCTAACGTTTGGAGGATTCTTTTGAATTATTCGATAGTTCGATAGTTTCACGAACTAACGAAAGGTCTAACTTCATAAATAACGATAAACAGTCATTTTTAAATTTTCTCGTGTCTGTAGTACTTCTTTGTTAACAATGTCCTTCACAGAATTTCCAAGCTTATAACCTAATTTTTTTAGCCTGTAAATATTATCTGAAGCTCCAGAAAATGTAACAAAAGACCCATTATTAGAACGACTTGCATATGCTACTGTCACTGTGACCCATGATATCGCCCCCCAGTAGCTCAGCGGTATGTCTGCGGACTTACAACGCTAGAATCCGGGTTTCGATACCCGTGGTGGGCAGAGCACAGATAGCCCATTGTGTAGCTTTGTGCTTAACTTCAAAAAACAAAAAACGGAGTCATTTTCTCATCCTCAGAAAGGATATAATATTTTGGGCACGTTAGATGCATGTCACGTATTAAAATATGTAGAAATATTATGTTAGATTTAACAGGATTCACAAGACATGGGAGAAAAATTTAATGCAGGTACTTACGAATACTTTCTGAAATCCAAGGAGAAAAATTTAATGAAGGTATTTAACGAATACTTTCTGAAAGCCAAGAAGAAAATTTAATG